CGGAACGAATTTACGGAAAATTAACGAACGAACGGAGACGTAACAGTATTATCTTCGCGGACCTCCAGGGGTCCAGAGACCACAGGTTGGGAACCACTGCTATAAGGGATTAAAGTTTTTTGTTTTTTTTTGCGAGTTATGGGGGCGCCATCAGCAAATGATATGCCCCCAAATTCCCTGACCTGATTTAGTTGAAATATATACTGCCATTTAACAAGAAGTTAGTAGTTACATATACTTTTTTTTATATTATTATATATATATATATATATATATATTATTTTTATTTTTTTTGTTTTTTATTATTATTTTTTTGTGCAGTTAATTGTTTGACACTAAAATTCCTAAAATGTCATGTTACCGGGATAAAACACAAGGAAAAGTTTACACAGTTAGTTCTTCTCGACTGGGGGCGACTCCAGCCATTGGAAACAAGGATAAAGGAAGTAGCCCTATTAGTAAATAGAAAGGACATTAAATGGGATTAAAGTAACTAAACCTTACGCATTATATTGACGTTTAGGCGGTTCGTTTAACTATTATACGTGATGTACGTTTTTTTTTTGGGGGGGGGGTAATGAAAGTGTTCCAAAACGCGACATTAATTTCTTGACGGCGTAATAATTCGAGACAAGTTTGGATTTACTCGACATTCTCGTACTTTGACAGCGACATAATCAGTCACGTCTCTATTTAACTGTTTCATTTGCGCTACATATTTTCATCTTCTCTTGTTCTACTTTTTCGTATTCTGTTTGTTTACTTTTTATTTGTTACAAATAATATCATATTTCTGGTGTAATTACCAATATGTTTGTTTTGTACTTCAAGATTACTGAAGATGAAATTTCGAATATTCCGAAACTTTAATAAATGCTTCATATAATTACGTTCGTGTTTTACTTTATTATTGAATTACGTTTTCCGAAAAACGAATCGATTACTAACATACATACAAAACTGTAAAAAACAAGTAAACTATAATTGGCTATAAAAAGGTAACCACCATAAATAATTTATAAACATTTATAGTTTTTTGCCTTCTTTATTCAACTTGAATATTAAGATAAATTGCAGGTGAAAAACTGAAGATAAACATGAATGAAGTACTTAGAACAATAACTGGTCTAACGTACGTTAGGCTTAGATAAGAATGATATCTTGAGGCCTGAAAATTAAGAATCACCAGTTAACAATTTACTAACTACATTAAAATAATTAAATATATTTATTTCTATGGTAATAAAAAAAAAACTTATTTTAACAAAATGTTACAAAGTACAAAATTTATGAATGATGTTATAACATTAACTTATTTTGTATTCTAAGTTCCAGAACACATAGTAATTAAACAAGATGAAAGGAGAATTGTACAATTTTAATCACTTCGTGACAAGTTTGAAAAAGCTCGGCTCAGTTATAAATAATATTAAAATTTACGTTTGGTAGTTAATAGAGTGGATTTAATAACTTGTAGGTTGTAAAACAAATAATAATGGAAAATGGACACGTTTTTTAAGTTTTAAAAGTTTATACATTAATGTAAAAAATTACGTTCGCCCGAACAGGGACTCGAACCCTGGACCGTTAGGTTAAAAGCCTAACGCTCTACCGACTGAGCTATCCGGGCTTCGTAATATTATATAACTTACTTTAAATATTCTTATAACTTAATATTTTTACCATTTTATTTATGTGTTTGAATTTTTTATCTTCATACGACAATTTAGTTATCACTCTGAAACTATGCTTAGGACGAGAGAGATGCATAGCATAGAACACTCATCATGAGTGTTAAAATAACGATTAGGGATGAACTTACTCTAACTTCTAAGTAAAACAAATTCCACCATGCAGAATATTCAATTTCTTTAGGAACTTGCTAACCGAGGTAGTTATAATTGGACAATTACAACTTCCTTGCTGCTGATGTGAAATTCTTAAGTTCATGTACGCCGGAGTTGGGTCAACAGACCGGGCAGCAGCCGGACCAACATTTTGTCACAGTAACTGTAGGGCTTTTTTAACTTTAACTTGCACTTCAAAAATTGTTTCTAGGTAAATATATATATACTTATAGTATTATGTATGAATCACTTTAACAATGCATAATAAATTAAATGTGTAATCTGCAAGTGTACATACTTGTGCTTGCTTATAGTATAAGTGCCAGTGAGCTTTTGCTTCTTACACCCCTGTTGGTCAGCAGTGTAATCACAGTCTGACGCATCTATCTAAATGGTTCTTAGGCTGGGAACGTTTCGTTAATGACGTACATTACGAAACAAGGGACACTTTCGCCGTAAAATCAGTAGTATTAAGTTGCATTGTTAAAGGCGCTAAATTATGTTAATTGTACAACTTATTTTAATTTTAAATAGCACTAAATTGGACAAA